GTGTTTGTCAGCACATCACCCCAAAGTGCATGACAATTGAAGTCACCCAGCAGGAGCACAGGTTCCGACAAGGAGTCTAGGTGGTGTTTAAGATCGGGAAGAGAAAGTGGGACTGGGGGGGGGGGGGGGGGAGATAAATAGAACAAACCGTGTACCATCTGCGCACAAAGACACGGGCGGCAGAACAGTGGAGAGGCGAGGAAAAAAGTAAGTAGACAAAGGGAACATCGGAGCGAATCAAGAGCAGAAGAATTATTGGGGGGGGGGGGGGGAAGAATAGCCACGGAAGCGACCAGGATTAGCATCAAGCATCGAGTCCTGGAAACAGACAAGGGGAAAAAAATGAAATGAGAAGTTGGAGGTCAAGGAAATTTGCGTAAAATCCACGGGTGTTCCATTGAAGAAAAGACATCAGCAAAGAGAGGAGAGCAACAGAGAGCAAAGAAGAAACAAAGGTGAAGAAGGAACACTGCACGCTAAAATAGCACAGGGTCAGGACCAGGGTCAGCGAAGTCGGGGTTAGGGGGCATGGGTAAATTGAGAAAAGGAGGGAAAGAAGCGGGAGGACAGTCCCGAGGTGGACGAGCAGGGTCTGGAAAAGGAGGGGCAGAAAGAGGGGAGCGCACCTCAGCAAGGGCAGTAACCGAGATGGAACCAGGGGGCTAAAGAAACCCCCACAGTAGGAACAGGCGGCTCCTCCACCGAAGCAGGAGGAAAAGGAACGATAGAATCAGAGATAGGGGGTGAAGAAGAAAGCAAAGCCTTCTTACCGACCAGGGAGGAGGAGGGAGAGGAGCCAGGTTTCCGCTTCTGACTCAAAGACGCACGCGTCCGAGCAGCAATGTACTGGGCAACAGACTCCAGCATCTCGATAGGAGAAAAGCGGGAGCGAACAACACTACCATCAGGAGAGCGATGGACATCGGCCCACACAGTCAGGCGGCATGGAGAGCCAAGAGACACAGGAGAATGACGGGAAGGAGGACCAGAGGGAGAGGAAAAAGAAGACACAGGAGACGTGACAGACTGGGTAGAAAGAAGGGGAGCCCTAGACAGAGACCCAGGACGGGGACCCTTCGGGACAGAACGGAGGAAAACAGGGGAGGTGGTGGTGGGCGTGTCCGGGTCCAAGGCTTTGAAACAGTTTTGAGAGTGAGGAAGGCGGGAAGGAAGAGGAAGAGCGCACCACGCAAGCATAGGAGGCACCAGCGAAAGAGGGGATGAAATGAACTTTGCGCCGAGCCTCAGGAAAAGAAACGGTCCCAGTGCTTCAAGTTGAGGTCAGCCGCCTCAAGTTTGTAACGAACACGTACTGGAGAAGGTAGGGTGGGCCTCACCGCAATTGAGGCAGCGGGCCTGGGGAGAAGTGCACTCCAACCTAGAGTGACCCTCGCTGCCACACAGGGGACAGAGAGAGAGGACTAGAGCATTTGAGGGCACCATGCCCAAAGCTCCAGTACTTACTGCAGAGCCGAGGAGATGGAATATACTCCTGAACAGAGCATCTAGCACCAGCAAGAATGACAGAGTGGAAGAATCCTACTATCAAAGGTAACCTTCACAACCCGAAAAGGCAGATGGTGATGACCACGAGGGGGACGAGTAAATATCCACCTGGAGGACAGAATGACCCTGGGCCTCGAGGATATGCTTGATATCCTCTTAGCAGTCCTTGAGATCCCTAACACCAGTCGCAACATGGTGTGGGAGGTTATCTCGAGATGATTTCGGGGATTTTTTTTTTTTTTTTTTTTTTTTTTTTTAGTGTCCCCGTAGCCCGGTCCTCGACCAGGCCTCAACCCCCAGGAAGCAGCCTGTGACAGCTAACAAACACCCAGGTACCTATTTTACTGCTAGGTAACAGGGGCATAGGGTGAAAAACTCTGCCCATTGTTTCTCGCCAGCACCTGGGATCGAACCCAGGACCACAGGATCACAAGTACAGTGTACTGTGAGCTCGGCCGACCGGCTCTAGAAAGCTGGGGAGGAGAACAGTGCAAACACTGGCATTCAACCAAGCGTTCTTCGAGACCCGAACAAGGGTCTCGCCAAGGCAGGATAAGGCGGCCAAGCGGGTGGCCGCATCCTGAGGAGCAGCAACGACACTGGTGCCAAGGTGAGTGGGGTTGAAGGTGACAGGCATCCACGGAATCGACAAGATGCCCAAGGGAAAAATCGTCAGGAGTAGTTTAATCCAAAGGTTGGAAAAGAACTTGGTCCACATAGCAGGACCAAACAAAGCATGAAACGAATTACGATGGGAAGGGAGCATACGAGATCGGCCGTGGCGGGGACGGCAATGAGAACCCTTAGAGAGACGGGTCAAAAGGTGCAGTAGTTACAAGAAGAGATGGAGCCGTGCAAGGGGACGAGAAGGCCACCACAGCAGGCTTGGGGCTCGACCCAACCACAGAGGGAGGGGAGCAGGGAGGAAGAGTCCAGTCTGGGCCTAAACCGGGTCCTGTAGCAGGGGCTACAGATCCCGGTCTTCCTGGACAGTCCTACTCAGGGGCCTGGTCGCCCACCCAATGAGCCTGGGTAAGAGAAGTCGAGTCGTCATCCTTACAGCAAACCAATATATATAACGGATGGGACCTGGAACCAAGGGACACCACCTACCAGGGCAGCCAGGGAGGATGAGCGCGGGCCAGTGCAGGAAGGGTGCGACATCCCCAGCGGTGCTCCCCCTTTTCAACAGGGGAGTCCTACTTCGTTCATTCTTCCACACTTGTGGAAAGACCCCAGTCCCACTATCACCCCAGCCTGGACACCCAACCATCCACCCAGGGCGGCCTCTCACAGGCGACCCCTCCAGCAGGTGGTCCGATGGCTCAAGGCCCCTACATGGTGCCCTTCAGCACGTTCACCACTTAGAGGGGGAGCGCAGGCAACCCACACCGGTCCCAGGGAGGTGTACACGAGCCCCTCACCACGGCAAGTAGGCACCACGGAGGAGTAAGCAAGTAATTATCAAAAGAAGGCACCAAACCGGGAAGGCTATGTAGCACCATCAAATGTGCGGAATAATCAGAGGGCGCTAAATATCACCAAGGATGCCAATACGAGAACAAAAACTCATAAGGCAAATGATATCCAAAGTATCCGAGCCACCAAGAATTCTATTTAGGGACAGGTGACCGCGAGGGGCGGTCGGAAAGCAAGACACGCTCGTCCTGGAAGTCAGGACATTCAAGAAGGACATGCACGACCGTAAGAGGGACAATGCAACTAGGACAATAAGGAGCAGGGCGGCGCTCCATCAAGTGACCATGGGTTAAGCGAGTATGGCCAATACGCAACCTCGCCAGAGCCGTTTCCCCACCGCCGGTTACGGTGGAAGGAGGACGGCCACTAGGAAACAACATTTAAGAGTACGTAGCTTGTTACCAATAACAGACAACCAAGAAGCCTGCCAACGGGCAAGGACTGAGGAATGGATAACCGGGTAAAAGTCTGAATACGGAATGCCTTTACGAGAGATGGGACAAGAGCGGACAGCTTCCTTGGCGGCAGCATCCGCACGCTCATTTAAAGACACACCAATATGGCTGGGAACCCAACAAAACTCAACCGACATAAATTTACTGTGAACGAGAAACGGCCAATGCTGGATCTCGACAACTACTGGATGAACCGGATTAAAGGACCCGAGAGCCATGAGGGCACTACGAGAGTCTACAACAACCACAAAGGAAGACTGACAATGAGAAAGCAGGAGACGAAGAGCAGAGAAAATAGCATAAAGCTCCGCTGTAAAGATGCTAGTCTCCGGAGATTAGCGACACGTATAAGTGTGATCAGGAAAAACAGAAGCCAACACCGTCCGCAGACTTAGACCCATCGGTGAAGACAAACGGAGCGGGAGTGAGAAGAAAAGTGCAAGGAAAAGGCATTTTAGAACCGTAGGAGGGGTAAAAGCTTTAGTGATGCGGGTCAAGGAATGTACAAAACCACGGAAGAGAAACTCTCCACGGGGACCACGGAGGGGCGTGAACCATGTAGTCTACCTGGACAAGAATCTAACCTTGTGACAAAGAGGGACAGGTGCCCCCGGGTCTGTCTATCGGTCTTCCTTCCCCACCTCCAACCTCAGTCTTTCCCCATAAACTTTTCACCATTTATTGTTCTATATGATGATGTAGTTATAATTATGCACGATTATTCTGAAAAATTCTGGTCAAGTTCATGGAACGATAAACCCATTTACTTTAAGTGGGTCATTAGTTGTTGCAACACGAGTCCGTCTTACTTGGGAAGGGGGGGGCTACCTTGCCACCACAGATGCCATCTTACCAAGTCACCACATTACGTAGAAAGGACAAGACAATCTTTCGGCCTGCGAGATACATTAGAGGAAGCATTGTGTAGCTTCAGGCTTTCAAAGGTGTAAGTGAGAACTCATAACCACCCCCACCAACAGCTGTGCAACACGGGTAACTAATGCTACAGGAACACTGTGGGTTAGACACTTGTCTAACCCTATCTGTCCCACTTGTAACGTCAACCCGAGATACCGAGTTGTGAGCCTAGTTGACTTATGTTCATGCCTGCTAATGGTTCATCAAGTATATGGCATCCTACAATCTCTTCGTCACCGTACCAACGTAGGTTACAGAATTAGCTATCCGGGTTTATCTAGAACTAAATTTAGCATCCGGGCCCTCCCCCCTCCCACTAACCCTCGCCAGAGGAACACGGTTTGAAGACCGTTTTCAGTTAACATGCATATCCTTATATTATACCAGTTCAATTAGGAATTATATAGAGTTATGACAGCAGTGTTCAGTTAATTTGAAAGGAGGTACTTTTGAACCTTCAGACATCAGCACGTTACTCATGGCATCCAAGTCCGATGGAAGAGAATAACCTACAAACAATTTGTAACTTAAGCCATTTTCTTGAGTAGTGTCCAACATTGTTGAAAAATTATACAAACTAATTAGTCTTAAAGCAAGATCATCCTTTCCACCTCTAAAAGGTTGTGGCATTAAAGACCTAGAGTATATGTAAATTTATGTATATTTACAAGTTATGCAAGAATTAATAAAAGCAGCGAGTTTACCCTTCATAATTAGTGCCATTGTTGGTCGATTTCATTAAAAGTTAGAATATGGAGAAGGCACGACTGAAGTCTCACAAATGACGGGCTTATCGTGGTAGCAAGCAATGTCGTGCCACTTAATGCCGTCGTTGTAGAAGTTCTTCATCACCGCCAAGCAGTCTTCGTTTCCCTCGCGGTTGTCTGGTTGTGGTTGACCTTTCCTGTTTACGAGAACTAAATTAGTTAACCGAACTATGAGAGTTCTATGCCATCATTATACAGGAGGGACAGCAGAATATTCACAACTCCGGGAAACTTTACCACATACCCTCCAGTATGGGACCACTTATTGTAAGTCACCAAGCTTCCCGACAGCCACCGCCAGACGCCATAACCTCGTATGTTGCCGCCAGTCCAGAAGAACTTTACTGGATCTGAAGTTGGGGAAAAAAATAAATTAAATCTGCATTATTTTAACCCTCCTCCCCCAGCCTTAAGAAACCTAAAGTTTTTATAACCCTTAAGAAATCCGCATACCAGTGAAACACGTGCATTCACGTTCACTTTACAGAAAAAGTAATAAAGGTACGTACGTCTATCAATGATGTCTGTAATGAAGTCATCAATATCTTTAGATTCTATACTGACAAGTCTGAAGTCTCTGCCAAGGCCTGAACAATAGGAATTGCCTTGATCCCAACTGAAGGTGGCCTGGGTTCTGCACCAGGAGAAGTGGTACCCGCGGCTTTTGTAAGTGGCGTGTACCTGTGGGGTGCCAAGTTAGTTTAACTTGGCATTACGCATCCTTTTTGCAAGTAGTAGTAAATAAAGTAATTTATTATACGTACCAGAGCAGAGGAGTGGCCACAGAGGTTCAGGGGCGACTGTGCAGGTAGTGGAGGAGAAGACTGAACCAGAGGCGGTTGTGGCAAGAATTGGGGAAATGCCACTTGTGACTGGAAGACCTGCGGCTGGATTTCAAAGGTTTGGGGAAGGTTGAACTGATTAATGAGTAAAGGCTGTAAGCGAGGCTGAACAGGGAAGACCTGCTGAACTGGGAGGGTGTTCCCAATGTGCAAATTCCTTACAAACTCTTTTTGTGCTCTAGCTGTATTTGGTAGAGGTAAAGCTATGCGTTGGATTTGTTGGTCAGTAAGAGATTCTCCTCCGTGACCGAAGTATTGACCCAAACTTCCACCAACACTCAACATAAACATCCATATTGTAATCATCCTAGAAAGAACAAGACAAACATTAAACCGAGAAGAGTAAAACAAGCAAATACTGAGCCTAAATAAACAATAAAACAACGTCTACTTATGTTAGTACTTGAATATCTCTACAGCCGATGCACGAGCGACTCCAACTGTGGTGAGTGTGGCCTGCCCGCCCCTTTTATCACCATAGCTCAAGCAAGAACGGGCTCTAATTGGCCGATATTCTAGCCTAGAGTCACAATATTGGCTAACCTGTTCATGGTTTTAAAACTATTGATTCAAATGTCACTAATAATTGGCTAACGGTCAACTGAACATTTTATGAAAACAAATGAGCTTGATATGAACAACTGATAAAATCCAAGTTGATTTATAAATCATGTTAAGGAATTATTTATTGTAAAATAACAATTCCGTTTTAATAAATAAGCAGAAAATTTAATTTATAACGTGTTAGTAAAACCGATCGACTAAAATCGTAACTACAAGCCGCAAGTAATTAACACACACTCACACACACACAGAGGACAATATTTTTATTTCCAAACACATGATATAATTTTGTTGTATTGGTTAAAAAAAATACAGGTGGTGAGATATTGTTTCAGAAATAAGGTGTTCAAAGGTCCCAATCTTATGGTATTGTGCGACTCCTTCCGAAATCGGGGGATTTACAGGGCTTGTGCAATTGGAGACCTTTTCCTTGTTAAATCAATATTATAAAATAATATAGAAACTGTTGGCGAACTTTCTAAGGCTTGTTTTGGGTCGGGATGTGTTGTGTAGAAACGTTGTGTTTACGTAACCGAGAATAATGTTTTGGCTTCATTGATTAATTTGGATTTGTCCGAGGCCTTTGATAGAGTTGATCTTGAGTTTGTTTACCAGGTTTTGCGTAGGGTAGGTGTGGCTGAGGGTGTTATTTCCAGGATGAAGATGCTGTATCGTGAGTGTAGGAGTAGTGTCTGTATCAACGGGTTACTGAGAGCTTCCTTTGCCATTGAGAGATCAGTTCGGCAGGGATGCCCAATTTCAATGGTGCTGTGTATGTTGTTTCAGAAACCACTATTTGGCGGTGAAGAGGAGTGCATTGATAGTGCCACCATCCCTGCCAAATTCGTTGTTTCTTCCGATTCTTGTGTATACTGATGACACCATGGTGTTCGTATAGAAGGAGGACTCTGTGTTGGCTGCCCTGTATGTGTTTGTAGCGAGTAATCCTTATACTCGCTCCATTATCTCCTTATCTTAATGGCATAACTAATTAGCACTAACTACACAAGCTATAATCCTATCCCTAATTACAGGTAACAGTTTTCACATCCTCCCATCCTAGTAGAGAAAGGTGAGGGGTAGTCACCAAATATAAGGAAGCGATATGAGAATAGACAAAACACACAACAGGGAGGTGGGAGACATCTCCCGTCACGCAGGGTGCAGTCGCACCTCCACAGATCTCCAGTATCATCTATTGATACTGGAAATGGCTCAAAAGGGCCACCACTTATGGGCTATTCATGCCCAAGCCACCTTTTGGGTGGCTTAATCTTCTCTCTCTCTCTCTCGTGTTTGTCCACCATCTGGTCACCATTTGGTCCGGGAGACATCTCCCGTCACGCTGGGTGCAGTCGCACCTCCACAGATCTCCAGTATCATCTATTGATGCTGGTGATGGCTCAAAAAGGCCACCACTTACGAGCTATTCATGCCCGTGCCACCTTTTGGGTGGCTTCATCTTCATCTTAACACATTCACAAGGGAGACATCTCCCGTCATGCAGGGTGCATTCGCACCTCCACAGATCTCCAGTATCAGCTCTTGATACTGGTAATGGCTTAAAATGGCCACCACTTACGGGCTATTTATGCCCGTGCCACCTTTTGGGTTGCTTCATCTTCACACATTCATAAGGGAGACATCTCCAGTCGCGCTGGGTGCAGTCGCACCTCCACAGATCTCCAGTATCATCTATTGATACTGGTGATGGCTCAAAAGGGCCACCACTTACGAGCTTTTCATGCCCGTGCCACCTTTTGGGTGGATTCATCTTCATCTTAACACATTCACAAGGGAGACATCTCCCGTCATGCAGGGTGCATTCGCACCTCCACAGATCTCCAGTATCAGCTCTTGATACTGGTAATGGCTTAAAAGGGCCACCACTTACGGGCTATTCATGCCCGTGCCACCTTTTGGGTGGCTTAATCTTCATCAATCAATCAATAGACAAAAGTAGAGTTTCCAGTCAAGAATGTAGCACTCGGCATAGGCAGTTCTAATCGTATCCAAGACGTTACAGCTTCGACAGAGAACAGGCAGCAGACTAGGACCGCATTGAGCTTCAACGCTCTCCCACATAGAGCTCCACGACTCCGGCCACACTCATCTCTCTGCTCAGCTCCAAGCTCCGTCTCAACGTCTACGACACTGCTGTATCCAGGACTACTAAATATGAAACTCACTAAACACTGCGTATATAATCTACCCAACAACGTAACATAATCGTACGTTACATGTTTAAAGTGGTGATGGGTGGAGACGTATGATGGGGCTTGGTCGATGGACTTCTAATCGACTAATTTAATTACCACTAAGAGTGTTCGCCAAGCTCTGGGCGGAGGTGGAAATGTCGCCTGTCAGCTCCTGGTTTGCTGACCAGTGGTAGTTTTTGTGTGTGAGCGAACCCTTGGGGCCGTAGCTGCTGGAGGGATGGCGGCCCCCCCCCCTCCCCCCTGTGAAGCAGAGAGATACCATTGGCCTAGAATTTACTGGCCCAATGTCTTACCCGGCAGTTGAGGTGGTGATAATTGACATGTTGCGGGTGGATGTGGCGTCTGTGTGCGGCGTTCAACTTGTATCCGGGCATCGAGCTGTTGTGAAATTCTGCACTACGGCTGTGCATTGTGCCTTTGTGGACCGCTATGACGGAAGGACATTTACTCTGCCTGAGGGTGGTGGTTCGGTGGAAGTGTCGGACAGGTGCAGTGAGACTACCTATGTGGCAGTTCATGGTGCTCCTTTTGAGTTCCCTGACTCTCTTCTCCAGCATAACTTTACCCGGTATGGGCGGGTCTTGAGTGTCCGAATGAATGCAGTCTCCTCCAGACGGTGGAAGGGTATCCCGAATGGGACCCGCACTGTGGCGCTGCGCTTGAAGGACTCCATCCCTTCGTCTCTCCAGCTTCTGGGGTTCATGGTATGCGTGTTCTATGGGGGTCAGCCCCGGACGTGTTTCCGGTGCGGATTCTCGGGCCATCAGGCTGCGGGATGTGATGCGAGCCGGGTCGGGCCTGTGAACCTCTTCAGGGAGGAGGACTTTCCCCCATTGGCAGTCCCGGACCTGTCGGAAGGTGCTGCTGTGGAAAGTGTTACTTTCCAGTCCTCTGGTGCCACGTTGCCGGTCTCTGATGCCAGCCTCGATGTGGCTTTGGGTGTCAGAGTGCATCCCCGGATTCCGCACCTCAGCCTCCCCTTCCTGCCTCGTCTCCAGACGAGTCTCCAGTTGTGACTCCTGTGGTGTGTGGTCTCGTGACTCCGGACGTCGAAGCTGCGCCTCGGCCTGTACTGTCTCCGGCAGCTGTGTCTTCGACCCGTGTCGACGTGCACGCTGTGATGTCTCCTGCGGTGTGTGGTCCTGTTCCCCGGGTTGTTGAGGCTGCAATGTTGAGTGATCGTGCGCTGCGGGGAGTTACACGGGCAACCAGCGGTTCTGCTACGGTGCTTCCTAGTGGAGGTGATAGTTCCGACGATCTGCGACCTGTGTCCAAGCGTTCGCGGCAAGCTTTGAGTCTGTCTCCGCCTCTTAATGCGGCCTGGGCCGACGTCGGGGAATTTGAGGACTCCGGGAGTTCGTCTTCTTGGGATGGTGATGTGTGCGACGCTGTTGGAGTGCCTGCGGCTCCTGTGGGTCGTGTTGCAGCAGTGATGGGTCCTGTGGTGGGATTGTCGCCTGGCCCTGGTCCGGTGTCTTCTCTGGCTGCCTCCGCGTCACCGGTTGCTGGTTCCCCGGGTTGGGAGGTTGTGGCACCGGCCAAGTTTACGACAAAGGGTAGGGGCTTGGTGCCGGTTCTTACAAATGCTTCTGTTCCGGCGGCCTTCGTGCCTCTGGCGTCCATGTCTGTGCCTTCCACGCCTTTGCCCTCTGCTCAGTCGTCCTTTGTTACTCCGTCCCCTGTGGTGTCTGCCCCTGCACCATCGCCCTCTGTGATTGTGTCCCCTGCGACTCTGCCCGCTCTGTTGCCGGCCTGTGTCCGGCCGACTCCTGTGCTTCAGTCCCGTGTGGTTCCACCGTCTGTATCAAAGCCCTCTGTGCGGCCTCTTCCCGTGCCAACCGTCTCCGTGGTGGAGGGCGCCGAGCTGGATGTTCCTGACTTCATGCATCGACCGCGTGGGTCACGTTAACGCGCCTATGGAATTGTGGGCACAGTGGGATGCCTACAGGAAGAAGTACCCGCGTCGTTTCTATCCGGATAAATATGAAGATGATTGACTGTGTGTGTGGTTCTTGCTTTGTGTTGCTTTATTTCTTTCGTTGTTTTGTTGAGCTATGTGATACGGGTTCCTTTTTTTATCCTGTTTTCTTACCTAGCTGGGTTATAATGCTCTAGTGTTTTTTCTTTTTTAATGTATTTCATTGTTACCTATGTGTAAGATTCCATTTTTGTTTATGCTTATTTACGATTTGTTCTATTATCTGTGTCCTATTTACTGTGTTCTATGTTCCAATGTGGGTTTGTGTTATACCGATTCTTTATTTCATATTTTTTATTTTGATATTTTACTATGTAATGCACATGTGTTCTGTTTCCTTTGGTCTATGTACTGTGCTGTGTATTGCTTTGTTGTATTCCCTTGCTATTTTCCTGCATTTTATTTACTATGTTGTATTTCCAGTGTTATATTGCCATGTTCTGTTAATGTGTTTTCGATTCTGTGGTGTGTTGTCTGTTGTTGTGTGGTGTGGCGCATGGTGGGTGTGTTTTGTGTTTGTGTTATCTTGAGGTTATCTTGAGATGATTTCGGGGCTGTTTAGTGTCCCCGCGGCCCGGTCCTCGACCAGGCCTCCACCCCCAGGAAGCAGCCCGTGACAGCTGACTAACACCCAGGTACCTATTTTACTGCTAGGTAACAGGGGCATAGGGTGAAAGAAACTCTGCCCATTGTTTCTCGCCGGCGCCTGGGATCGAACCCAGGACCACAGGATCACAAGTCCAGCGTGCTGTCCTCTCGGCCGACCGGCTCCGGTGTTAGTTTGTGTTATTGTGTATATGTGTATTCCTTGTTTATATTTTACCCTTGGTTTTATTGTGCTCTTTGTGCGCTTTTGTCATTACTGAGGCTTTTGGCACGCCCCATCTGGGTAGTGCTGCTTTGTTTGTGTGTGTGTGTTCTGTTGAGTTTTATGTTATTCTTTGTTTTCACTTTTGTGTTATGTTGATCTGTGTTACGTGTTATGTGTTGTTGTTATTCTGCGTTCTTTGTTCTTCTGTGGTTTCCTGTTATATGGTTACTGTACGCTGTTATTGCTCTGTTTAAAAAAAACAAAGAAAAAACAAAACAAAATACACCTTCACTCGTCACGGTAGTCTGAGGTAGTTGGCTTTCTTGTTTTATGGCAGTGTTAGTGTAGTGTCAAGCCTTTGTTCTCATGTTTATTATTATTAACATGAATAAACTGTTATAATTTATGTAAGAAACTTATATTAGTTATAAATTTCTAAATAAACAATTATACCAATTTTTTTTTTAAATTTAGTTTTTAAAAAAAAAAAATAACATTTCTTAAAATTATTTAGAGACAAAAAATTGACTTTTTTGCCAAAATTATCTACAGGACTTGTTCAGTGTCACGAAGAACTACCGAAGGAGCCTTGTATGGTCTGGTGTCTGATGAGCTGACACACTAGTTAACGGAAGTATATATCGGAGTTCTACAGAGCTCTGAAATTGTTTTTCTCTTCATTTAAAATAAACAAAACATAAATACATATAGAAGAACATATATTCAAAACATCTGCACATGTAAAATTACAAAAAACATTACAGTGTTAAACAAACAAAGCCAGAAAACCTTGACAACATCAGAAACAGTAAAAATGCCAATACAACCACAGCATGACAATAAGCTAATGCCACCACAGAACGACAATAAGCCAATACTACCAAAGCAAGACAATAAACCAATAATAACAGCACAGCTTGAAAGTAAGTTAATACCACCACAGCATGACAATAAGCTAATACCACCACAGCATGACAATAAGCCCTTACTACCACAGCGTTACAATAAGTAGATACCACCACTGAATGACAGTAAGCCAATCCCACAGAAGCATGAAAATAAGCCAATAAGAGCACAGCATGACAATAAGCCAATACCAGCACAGCATGACAATAAGCCAATACCACCACAGCATGAGAATAAGCCAATACCAGCACAGCATGACAATAAGCCAATACCATCACAGCATGATAATAAGCCAATACCCGCACAGCATGACAATAAGCTAATAACAGCACAGCATGACAATAAGCCAATAACAGCACAGCATGACAATAAGCCAATAAGAGCATTACATGACAATAAGCCAATAACACGACAGCATGAAAATAAGCCAATACTAGCATAGCATGATGATTAGCCTATACCACCACAGCATGAAAATAAGCCAATAACAGCACAGCATGACAATAAGCAAATACCACAACACCATGACAATAAACCAATACCACCACAGCATGACAATATGCCAATACCATCACAGCATGACAATAAGCCAATAAGAGCACTACATGACAATAAGCCAATAACACCACAACATGAAAATAAGCCAATAACACCACAACATGAAAATAAGCCAATAACAGCACAGCATGATGATAAGCCTATACCTGTGGTGTTAAGTCTTCTGTGTATGATGATGTGGGCGACGTTCTTGGAGTGCCTGCGGCTCTTGTGGGCCGTGTTGCAGCGGTGGTGGGTCCTGGGGTGGAATTGTCGCCTGGCCCTGGTCCGCTGTCTTCTCCGGCTGCCTCTGCATCCCTGGTTGTTGGTTCCTCGAGTTGGGAGGTTGTGACACCAGCCGAGGTTGCGTAAGAGGGAGGGAACTTGGTGCTGGTTCTTAAGAAAGATTCTGTGATTCTGAAAGGTCTGTGCCTTCCGCTCATCTGCCCTCGGCGATGGCAACCGCTGCGTGGCTGCCCTCTGCTCCGCCGTCCTTTATTACTCCGCCCCCTGTGGTTTCGTGGTTTCAGCCCCTGCACCATCGCCTTCAATGATTGTGTACCCTGCGACTCTGCCCGTTATGTTGCCGCCCTGTGTCCAGCTGGCCCCTTTGCTTCAGTCCCGTGCGGTTCCACTGTCTGTACCGAAGAGCTCTGTGCGGCTCTTCCTGTGACTTCTGCCCCCGTGGTGGAGGGTGCCGAGCTGGATGTTACTGACTTCATGCATCGACCGCGAGGATCACGTAGTCACGTTAACGCGTCTGCAGAATTTTGGGCTCAGTGGGATGCCTACAGGAAGAAGTACCCGCGTCATTTCTATCCGAATAAATATGATGATGATTAACTTTGTATGTGGCTCTTGCTTTGTGTTGCTTTATTTATTTATTTGTTTTGATGAGTTATTTGATACGGTTTTTTTTATCTGTTTTCTTACCTAGTTATTGCTGGGTTATAATGCTATTCTCATATCGAATTTGGCAGGGATGGTGGCACTATCAATGCACTCCTCTTCACCGCCAAATAGTGGTTTCTGAAACAACATACACAGCACCATTGAAATTGGGCATCCCTGCCGAACTGATCTCTCAATGGCAAAGGAAGCTCTCAGTAACCCGTTGATTCAGACACTACTCCTACAAACACGATACAGCATCTTCATCCTGGAAATAACACCCTCAGCCACTCCCACCCTACGCAAAACCTGGTAAACAAACTCAAGATCAACTCTATCAAAGGCCTCGGACAAATCCAAATTAATCAATGAAGCCAAAATATTATTCTCGGTTACGTAAACACAACGTTCCTACACAACACATCCCGACCCAAAACAAGCCTTAGAAAGTTCGCCAAGAGTTTCGATATTATTTTATAATATTGATTTAACAAGGAAAAGGTCTCCAATTGCACAAGTCCTGTAAATCCCCCGATTTCGGAAGGAGTCGCACAATACCATAAGATTGGGACCTTTGAACACCTTATTTCTGAAACAATATCTCACCACCTGTATTTTTTTTAACCAATACAACAAAATTATATCATGTGTTTGGAAATAAAAATATTGTCCTCTGTGTGTGTGTGAGTGTGTGTTAATTACTTGCGGCTTGTAGTTACGATTTTTGTCGATCGGTTTTACTAACACGTTATAAATGAAATTTTCTGCTTATTTATTAAAACGGAATTGTTATTTTACAATAAATAATTCCTTAACATGATTTATAAATCAACTTGGATTTTATCAGTTGTTCATATCAAGCTCATTTGTTTTCATGAAATGATCAGTTGACCGTTAGCCAATTATTAGTGACATTTGAATCAATAGTTTTAAAACCATGAACAGGTTAGCCAATAGTGTGACTCTAGGCTAGAATATCGGCCAATTAGCGCCCGTTCATGCTTGAGCTATGGTGATAAAAGGGGCGGGCAGGCCACACTCACCACAGTTGGAGTCGCTCGTGCATCGGCTGTAGAGATATTCAAGTACTAACATAAGTAGACGTTGTTTTATTGTGTATTTAGGCTCGGTATTTGCTTGTTTTACTCTTCTCGATTTAATGTTTGTCTTGTTCTTTCTAGGATGATTACAATATGGATGTTCATGTTGAGTGTTGGTGTAAGTTTGGGTCAATACTTCGGTCACGGAGGAGAATCTCTTACTGACCAACAAAACCAACGCATAGCTTTACCTTTTCCAAATATAGCTAGAGCACAAAACGAGTTTGTAAGGAACTTGCACATTGGGAACACCCTCCCAGTTCAGCAGGTCTTCCCTGTTCAGCCTCGCTTACAGCCTTTACTCATTAATCAGTTCAACCTTCCCCAAAACTTTGAAATCCAGCCGCAGGTCTTCCAGTCACCACAAGTGGCATTTCCCCAATTCTTGCCACAACCGCCTCTGGTTCAGTCTTCTCCTCCACTACCTGCACAGTCGCCCCTGAACCTCTGTGGCCACTCCTCTGCTCTAGTACGTATAATAAATTACTTTATTTACTACTACTTGCAAAAATGATGCGTAATGGTAAGTTAAACTGTAACTTGGCACCCCACAGGTACACGCCACTTACAAAAGCCGCGGGTACCACTTCTCCTGGTGCAGAACCCAGGCCACCTTCAGTTGGGATCAAGGCAATTCCTATTGTTCAGGCCTTGGCAGAGACTTCAGACTTGTCAGTATAGAATCTAAAGATATTGATGACTTCATTACAGACATCATTGATAGACGTACGTACCTTTATTACTTTTTCTGTAAAGTGAACGTGAATGCACGTGTTTCACTGGTATGTGAATTTCTTAAGGGTTATAAAAACTTTAGGTTTCTTAAGGCTGGGGGAGGAGGGTTAAAAAAAAAAAATATGCAGGTTGTTAATTAATATTTTCCCAACTTCAGATCCAGTAAAGTTCTTCTGGACTGGCGGCAACAAAAGAGGTTATGGCGTCTGGCGGTGGCTGTCGGGAAGCTTGGTCACTTACAACAAGTGGTCCCATACGGGAGGGTATGTGGTAAAGTTTCCCGGAGTTGTGAATATTCTGCTGTCCCTCCTGTATAATGATGGCATACAACTCTCATAGTTCGGTTAACTAATTTAGTTCTCGTAAACAGGAAAGGTCAACCACAACCAGACAACCGCGAGGGAAACGAAGACTGCTTGGCGGTGATGAAGAACTTCTACAACGACGGCATTAAGTGGCACGACATTGCTTGCTACCACGATAAGCCCGTCATTTGTGAGACTTCAGTCTTGCCTTCTCCTTATTCTAACTTTTAATAGAATCGACCAACACTGGCACTAATTATGAAGGGTAAACTCGCTGCTTTTATTATTGCATAACTTGTAAATATACATAAATTTACATCTACTCTAGGTCTTTCATGCCACAACCTTTTAGAGGTGGAAAGGATGATCTTGCTTTAAGACTAATTAGTTTGTATACTTTTTCAACAATGTTGATTACTATTCAAGAAAATGGCTTGAGTTCCAAATTTTTTGTAGGTTTCTTTCTCTTCCATCGGACTTAGATGCCATGAGTAACTTGCTGATGTATGAAGGTTCAAAAGTACCTCCTTTCAAATTAACTGAACACTGCTGTCATAACTCTATAGAATTAGTAATTGGACTGGTATAATATAAGGATATGCATGTTAACTGAAAACAGTCTTAAACCGTGTTCCTCTGGCGAGGGTTAGTGGGAGCGGGGAGGGCCCGGATGCTACTTTTTGTTCTAGATAAACCCGGATAGCTAATTCTGTAACCTATATTGGTACAGTGACGAAGAGATTGTATGATGCCATATACTTGATGAACCATTAGCAGGCATGAATATAAGTAAACTAGGCTCGCAACTCGGTATCTCGGGTTGACCGTTTAAAAGTAGGACAGATAGGGTTAGACACGTGTCTCCCCAGTGTTCCTGTAGCATTAGTTACCCGGGTGTTGCACAGTTTTGGAGGGGGTGTGGTGGGGGGGGGTTATGAGTCCTCACTTGCACCTTTGAAAGCCTGAAGTTACACAATGCTTCCTCCAATGTATCACACACACACACACACGCAGGCCAATAGATGGTCTTGCCCTTTCAACGTAATGTGGTGACTTGGTAAGATGGCATCAGTGCTGGCGAGGTAGGCCCTCCCCCCATCCCAAGTAAAACGGACTCATGTTGCAACAACTAATGACCCACTTAGAGTAAATGGGTTTATCGTTCCATGGACTTGACCCGAATTTTTCAGATTAATCACGCATAATTATAACTACATCATAATGTAGAACAATAAATGGTGAAAAGTTTATGGGGAAAGACTGAGGTTGGAGGTGGGGAAGGAAGACAGATGGACAGACCCGGGGAAACCTGTCCCTCTTTGTCACAAGGTTAGATTCTTGTCCAGGTAGACTACATGGTTCACACCCCTCTGTGGTGCCTCTTTGCTGTGGTGAGGGGCTCCCGTACACCTCCGCGGGACCGGTGTGGGTTGCCTTTGCCCCCTGTCTTTGATGCTGCACTCCACTCTATTCCTCGCTCTTCCTCTCTGGGAACGCGGAAGTGCGTTCCCTGGTGGAATTTGGACTGTGCTCGGGCTGTCCGCTGTAAGCGTGCAGCCTGGAAGAGACATCGCCGCCGGCAGACGATCGAGTCTTTTCTTTTGTTTCGGAAGGCGAGTGCGGTGGCCCGTAGGACCATCCGTGCGGCTAAACGTGCTTGCTAGGAGTCTTGTCTACACCGTTACGTCCGAAACTCCTCTTCCACTGGTCTGGAAGCATATCTGCAAGATTGCGGGCAAGTTCGTTCCCGATGTCTGGCCGGTCATTCGCCTTCATGGTGCTCCTGTGGCGGACCCGTTGCAGATTGCGACCGAACTGGGTTCCCATTTCTCTTCTCTTAGTTCTGGTTCTAGTCTCCCCCAATCCTTCCTTAAGCCTCTCCTTGAATCTCCTCTAAATTTCTGTACTTACCTTCACCTTCCCTATAATGATCCCTTCTCTCTCTCTGAACTTCAATCTGCCCTAGCCCTTTGTGGTTCTACGGCAGCGGGCTCAGATGGCATTAATTATGAAATGCTTCGCCATCCCCCTCCGTGCACGTCTCGGTATTTAGAGTCTGTACAATCGGGGTCTGGGAGTCGTCGTCAGTCCCTGAAGACTGGCTCGATGCTGCTGTCCTCCCTGTTCGGAAACCAGGGTCTCTCGGGTCATCCACCAAGGACTTGCGCCTTATTGCCCTCACGAGTTGTCTGCAAGCTCTTTGAACGTATAGTTAACGTTCGTTTGATGTGGTTCTTAGAACACTATCACCACCTCTCCCCTTCTCAATTTGGTTTTAGCAAGTGTCGCAGCACAACGGATGTCCTGGTGAACTTGGAGGTCTATATTCGTACTGCTTTTGCTGCGAAGACCTCCGTTGTTGCCGTCCTTTTTGACCTGGAAAAGGCTTAAGACACTACCTGGCGGTATCATATTGTCTCGACTTCATTCTTTTGGCCTTTGTGGGAACCTCCCTCTTCCTCCAGAGCTTCCTCTCTCGTCGTTCCTTTCGTGTGCGGCTTGGTACTGCTCTCTCTGCCTCTTTTCAGCAGTATGAGGGTGTACCCCAGGGTAGTGTTCTGAGCACTACTCTTTTTCTAGTTGCCCTCAACGGTCTTCTTTCCTCTCTTCCTTCTGGCGTCTTCCCTGCTCTGTTGATGATCTTGCCCTTTTCTGTCGGGGTGATGATTCCCCTCTCCTTCAACAGCGGCTTCAACTTGAGATTGATGCCGTGTCGTCTTGGGCCACCAATCATGGCTTAAAGTTCTCTGCATCTAAGACTTGTGCTATGACTTTTACTCGAAAGCATGTCGTTCTTCGTCCCTTTTTGTCGCTTTATGGTCATCCCATTGTGTACAGGGATTCTGCGAAGCTTTTGGGGTTAGACACTCGTTTGTCTTGGTCAGCCCATATCTCTTACCTCAGGGTTTAAAGCTCCAAGGCCCTTAACCTCAAGGTTTTGTCCCATACTTCTTGGGGAGCGGATAGGCGCACGCTCCTCTATTTGCACTCCTCTCTCTCGTCCTGTCTAAACTCGATTATGGTTGCCCTGCATACTCTTCTGCTTCTCCTTCTACTCTACGCTGTCTTGATGCCTTGCATCATACTGGGTTGCGTCTCGGCTCTGGTGCCTTTCGACTCCCGCCCTTAGTTCGTATGTTGACACTGGCTTTCTCTCTCTTCAGGACCGCCGTGATCGCTACTGTCTTCGCTATCTTGCACGGTCCTTCCAACATCCTTCCTCTCGCCTCTGTCGTGCATTGCCTTTTCCTCCTGTGGTTCCTGTTCCTCTTCATTGCCTCCCATTTTCTGTCCGGTTATCTCGCTTACAGGATTCTCTTTCTGTTCGTATTTCTAATGTTTCTCCTCGTATTGTTCCTTCCTTACCTCCGTGGAGAGTCCCCCTTCCCAAGTTTTGTACGTCCTTGACTTGTATTACTAAAGCCTTTACCCCTCCTACAATTCTGAAAAGCCTCTTCCTTGAGCACTTCTTCGCACTCCTACTCTATTTCCATCTTCACTGATGGGTCTAAGTCTGCGGACGGTGTGGGCTACTGTTGTTTTTCCTGACCGTACTTATGTGTCGCCTCCCTTCGGAGGCTAGCCTCTTTACGGCAGAACTTTATGCTATTCTCTATGCTCTTCGTCTCTTGCTTTCTCGTTCTCATTCCTCCTTTTTGGTTATAATTGATTCTCGTAGTGCCCTCATGGCTCTAGGGTCCTTTAATCCTGTCCATCCGGTGGTCATTGAGATTAAACATTGGCTGTTTCTTATTTCTAGTAAATTTAAATCGGTAGTTTTGCTGGGTTCCCAGCCATATTGGTGTTTCAATGAGCGTGCGGATGCTGCCGCTAAGGAAGCTATCCGTTCTTGTCCCATCTCCCGTAAGGGTATTCCTTATTCCGACTTTTATCCTGTTATTCATTCTTCCATTCTTGCCCGTTGACAGGATTGTTGGTCGCCTGTGGTTGGTAACAAGCTGCGTACTCTCAAACGTAGTGTCCCCATGGCCTTCCTCCTCCTCCTCCTACTGTAACCGGCGGTGGGAAACTGCTTTGGCACGGCTGTGGGTTGGTCATACCCGCTTAACCCACGGTCATTTAATGGAGCGCCGCCCTGCTCCTTGTCCGAATTGCGTTGTCCCTCTTACAGTTGTACCTATCCTTGTTGAATGTCCTGACTTCCAGGACGAGCGTGTCTTGCTTTCCGACCGTCCCTTGCGGTCACTTGTCCCTCGATAGAATTCTAGGTGAATTGGATACTTTTGATATCGTTCGCCTTGTGCGTTTTTGTTCTCGTATTGGCATTCTTGGTGATATTTAGTGCCCTCTGATTATTTCGCACATTGATGGTGCTACATAGCCTTCCCGGTTTGGTGCCTTCTTTTGATAATTACCTTACCTTGCCTGTGCCCGCTCTTTGGGTGGTGTACGTGCTGAAGGGCACCATGTAGGGGCCTTGTGAGCCATCGGACCACTTGCTGGAGGGGTCGCCTGTGAGAGGCCGCCCTGAGTAGATGGTTGGGTGTCCAGGCTGGGACGATAGGGGGGGGGGGACTAGAGTCTTAGCCCCAGTGTGGAAGAATGAACGAAGTAAGACTCCCCTGTTGAAAAGGGGGAGCACCGCTGGGGACAACGCACCCTTCCTGCACTGGCCCACGCTCGGCCTCCCTGGTAGGTGGTATCTCTTGGTTCCAGGTCCCATCCCTTATATATTGGTTTGCTGCATGGATGACGCGTCTCCTTCTTACCCAGGCTCATGGGGTGGGCGACCAGGCCCCCGAGTAGGACTGTCCGGGAAGACCGGGATCTGTAGCCCCTGCTACAGGACCCGGTTTAGGCCCAGACTGGACTCTTCCTCCCTGCTCCCCTCTCTCTGTGGTTGGGTCGAGCCCCAAGTCTGCTGTGTTGACCTCGTCCCCTTGCACGGCTCCATCTCTTATTGTGATTACTGCACCGTTTGACCCGTCTCTAAGGGTTTTCATCGCCGTCCCCGCCACGGCCGCTCTCGTATGCTCCCTTCCCATTCCAATTCGTTCCTTGCTTTGTTTGGTCCTACTATGTGGACTAAGTACTTTGACCTCCAACCCTTGGATTTGACTCCTCCGGACGATTTTTCATTTCATAGGCATCTTGTCGATTCCGTGGATGCCTCTGTCACCTTCAACCCCACTCGTCTTGGTACCCGTGTCGTTGCTGCTCCTCAGGATGCGGCCACCCGCTTGGCCGCCTTATTCTGCCTTGGCGAGACCCCTGTTCGGGTCTCGAAGAACGCCCAGTTGAATGCCAGTGTTGGCACTATTCTGCTCCCGCCCCATGTTGCAGTCCCGAACTGAATGGCAGCA